GAGAGCTGCACACCGATGCCGTCATGGAATGTCGCCGACTCGTTGCTTGAGCGGCGCGGCGGAGACGTCGCCGACCGCGCAATCGCATAGTGTAGGTGCAGCTCTCGCACGAAGCCACAGCATGACTCAGAGGGCTTTGGTGCTAAGCAAATAGGTGCGGGCTTCTGGGAGAAGCGTGCAAACAGAAACCACTCCGCGTTGCCACGCTCTGGCGGATTTGGCAACAAAAATGGACGTCGCGGCGCGCTCATTCCGCCGGGTGCGTTTGCCGATGCAAATATCTCGTCCATGAAAGCCGTGTTGCTTTCGCCGCCGGATCTGCAGTGCTCGCTTTCCCACAGTTCGAGCAGGTGGAAGTATGGGCGGCATCGCTCCCGTGGACAGATGAAGATATGGTCGTTCTGGCATTGCAACCAGGGGCGATCTGACATGCCGCCCGCTGGAACGTACACATGCCGCTCGGAGAGCTTGGACAAAGAAGGCAAGTCCGAAAAGAAGGCGATGTCGGTGCGCGTCCGTATGAGCCATGCGTACCGAGAGTTGCTCTGCATCTCATACGCCTCGACCTGCAAGTAGCAAGCACGCACAGCTCGCCACTGAAGCATGATCTTTGCCGCATGCGAACGGCTGTAAACCTCGGAACCATTGACGAGACGAGCACCGAGAACGTGCGTACCCTCGAGCTGGCAGCGAAAGTGCTTGAGCATACTGTGCTGCTGCGTCGCGAGGTCCGACGAGGCCTCGTGGAGCAGTTCAAGGGTCTTTGGACTGTAGGCCGAGTGCACAGCCAGACGCAAGGCTGCTTCTTCCTTGCTTCTCCACACCCCGCCGATTGTGATGTGCGTATGTGCAGAAAACTGCTGCCGCCCCAATGCATCGCGAACGTGTCGCGTGTATGTCGACTGCACGGGAGTGGACAGAAGCGTACGAACCAGGCCAGTGATGCAGACGGCAACGGCTCCATGCCGTGCCGCGTCATCAGCCCCGCTGCCTTGCGCCCGTTGCGGCTCCATTGCTTCGTTGATTCATGTGTGTATGTCACACCCGTCGACAAAACCAACACCAATCCGCAGAAGAGTGCAGCACTACTCGCAACGTGCGGGCCTATTGAGGCAGCGCGCGCCAGAGACTTAGCTCACTATCCGGATACGCTGTTCCGCGAACGGTGTTTTGCACAGACTATAGTCGAGCGCGTCGGAGAGGTGTTTCGACACCGAGTGTTTTGAACGTTTCTTCGCAGAAGAAACGTCGAGAGAAAAATCTCTCGCCGGTGTTCACAGATCCGCCGGCCACCGCACCGACCGCCCGCACTCCAGCCTAACCAGCTTTGTGCTCCATCCAGCCTAACCAGCTCTATGCTCCAGCCTAACCAGCCCTGTGCCCCAGCCTAACCAGCAGCCTAACCAGCTCTGTGCTCCAGCCCAACCAGCTCTGCGCCCCAGCCTAACAAGAGCTCTCCAGCCTAACCAGTGCTCCAGTAACCAGCTCTGTGCTCCAGCTAACCAGCTCTGCATCTCGCAACACACACATGACAGGGACAGACCAGGCGCAGGAAAAGGGAGCGGGGCCCGAATCCAAGGGACCACCCCGTCGGGCTGAGGAGCTGTGAACTCAGGACCAGTAGGAAGGCTGCTGGCTCCTGACTCATCCACCAAATCCCCCACCCCTGTGGCCTGAAACCTTACCATTCCACCACCTCACACACACCCCTCCCCTAGGGCTAAGCAGTGCGCGAGCCCACCCGACTTCGGGCGAGACGTCGACCACTCCTCGGGAATAGTTCTGTCAGTGGCTGCACTAGACGCCCATAGAGGCGCGCGGCGCGGGCGGATGACTAGGGGAGAAAAAGCGGAGATCCTAGCTCGCTGGGAGACGTGCGCAACCTAGAGTTGGGAATAGGGGAGAAGTGTCAGTGTGAGGGGAGGGCTTACGCCGGCGTTTTTGCCTTTGAAAACTGAACAGTTTTTTTTTGGAAACCCTTGTTCAAAGCCGACCCTAAGCGCCATCCTTCCTGCTCTCACTTGATGCTGCTTCCCCCTGAGTCCTGGCTGTCACGTGTCAGGCTGTTCAGGTGCTGTCAACACGGTGATCTGTCGGGCTGTCGGGCACTGTCAGGCACTGTCAGGTAGGTGCCTCTGTCAGACCAGCTGTCAGGTGCTGTCAGTGCTATTGGGTGCTGTCGGGTGCGTGTCTGGCATCAGAGGTGCTCTGTAGCAACAGCGACTCAACGATAACATTGGACACGGGACTGGCGCCCACTGGCGGATGAAAGAACGTAGTTCCAGAGAGAGCACTTGGACTTGCAACTCAACACGCGCACAACGGCAAACGGGAAGAGCAGACCTGGCAGTGCCCGAGTGGCACCCCGGAGTGGCCCAACCAAGGCACACGCATTAGCGAAACGCGTCACTCAATCGCGAGCGTCTTGTGGACGGACACAGTGTACACCCCCCCCCCCCCCCCCACTTCACTATGGGTTCTAGTGCGGGTACCGGGCGAACTCGGCGTACGCGTTGGGGTCGAGCTCGCACCAGAATGACTCGCCCACACCCTTTTCGAAGACCTCGCGCCCATTCTTGCAGAGCACGGCGAGCATGGACACCTCGTGGATGAAGACGGACGAGACCGTGAAGGCCGGCTCATTCCAGAGATGTTCGAGCCTCAGCTCGCGCGGCGGCATGGCGAACTGGATCTCGCCCATGAGCGTTCCAGCGGCGCTGGTCCGCTGCGGTTGGCCTGGCAGCTTGCCCTGCATCGCGCAGATAATGTACTGCACTTGCAGGCAATAGTCCCAATGGTGATTGACGCGGATGAAGTTGAAGCCCGCGCCACTGCAGGAGTCGACGATAACTCTCATGTCGGGTGAACGCCATTTTCCGAACGCTAGGCCTTTTGCGAGCATGCACTGCTCTACGATCGTAGTATCGTAGCCGAGGAGCACTGGCCCTTTCAGCGGCCGAGCGTTCGGGTGGCCATTCTTGCCCCCGGTATTCTCGATCCAATTCTTGTCGCAAACCGCGCCGCGGAGTGCTTCATCGAAGAACGTGGCGCGGCCCGCAGGAGAGTGAGGTAGGCAGCTGGTCAGCCGGAATCTCATGCTGCTGTAAGTCATGCTGCTGTGCAGGATCGCATGGGAACGCCCCACGGTGAGTGGGCCCGAGCGCGGCACGCTCTTTGGAATGGTGTCCGGCGGCGTCGGCAGCGGCGGCAGATCCGATCGCAAGTGCAGGTCAAATGCCGTACGATGCGGCGTATCGAACTCGCACAGCCCCACTATGATGCGCGTCTTGCGGTAGCACTTCCCCTCACGGCGCTCCCAAACGACGCCCTCGCAAAACGGCAGCCCAGAGGCTGCCGCGCTCTTGCACGCCGCTTTGCACTCGGCGAGGGTGCGTGCGCCCGGCACGTCGCTCCCTCGCGGCGAGTCCACCTCCTCCGCGCCGTGGCCGTCCCACCAGCAGTTGCGCCGCGCGCGCAGGATCCAGTAGAAAGGCGGAGGGGGAGGGTGCGTCGGCGGCGGCGAAGTTGGCGGCGGCAGCGGCGGCGGCGGAGCAGGGTACGGCGGCGGCGGCGGCGGCGGCGGCGGCAGATCCGACCGCAAGTGCAGGTCAAATGCCGTATCGAACTCGCACAGCCCCACTATGATGCGCGTCTTGCGGTAGCACTTCCCCTCACGGCGCTTCCAAACGACGCCCTCGCAAAACGGCAGCCCAGAGGCTGCCGCGCTCTTGCACGCCGCTTTGCACTCGGCGAGGGTGCGTGCGCCCGGCACGTCGCTCCCTCGCGGCGAGTCCACCTCTTCCGCGCCGTGGCCGTCCCACCAGCAGTTGCGCCGCTCGTGCAGGAACCAGGCGTCGGGGGGGGTTTGAGGAGGCGGTGGCGGCGGAGGCGAGGGCGGTGGAGGAGGCGGAGGGTGCGGCGATGGCGGCAAAGTTGGTGGTGGCGGCGGCGGCGGAGGCGGAGGAGGCGGCAGCGGCAGCGGCGGAGGCGGCGGCGGCGGCGGCAGCGGAGGCGGCGGCGGCGGCTGCAGCGAGTCGGCACGCGGTTGCGACAAAGCTGGTGGCGACGGCGGTGGCGGTGGCGGCGGAGGAGGCAATGGTGGCAACTGCAGCGGTGGCAGCGGCTCGGCCAGTTTGAGCAAGCACACGGTGTTAGCGAGCGGCAGGGTGTGAGAGACGCGTGCAGGCGCCAAAATCAGCTCGCATGCCATGTCCACCCTGCCTCGCTTTTTTGGTGTGGATGCGTGCTGCGCTGCCACACACGCTCCGCTAGCCTCACAGAGCGCCTCGCACTCGGAGAGGCTGATTCCCCACAAGGCTGGTGCGCCGCCACGCGCGCCGCTGACGGTACGGCACGCACCGGCGGGCCCTCGAAGCGGCTCGAGCCTTTTCTGCATCACGAGCAGTGTCGGCGTTCTCAGACGCTACAGTTGTATCACGTAAACGCACAACCCGCCATTCACACAAAAAGTCTTCGGCCCCAAGACGCACAAGCAAGCACAGACGTTGGGTAATAGTAGTGGCGGACCGTGTAAAATTGCCCTACCTAGGTACTCCCGTGCGTGAGAGAGAGAGAGAGATTTTTAGCAATACCAAACAACTCTCGTTGTTTTTGTTGCGTGTGTGAGTGAGTATTCTTGATACGAAACCACGACGACTGCGACACACACCAGTCGACTCGTAGCGGTTGCCTCCATGAAGAGAGAGAGCAGAGCTATTCTCAAGCCCACACCACACCACCTCCTCCCGCCCCCCCCGCAGCCACTGCCGCGCGGCCGCCAATGCGACCGACCCCACCCTCCCTCCTTCCCCGACCCCGCCCTAAACGCCCCCGACAGCGAAGCCCGCGCCGCGCGCGGCACCCCCACCGACTCTACCTCCGACCCCAGGGCCTAGGCGGCCCGCCATGAAATCTAGCCGTGTGTGCTGGCGTCCGGGCCCAGCGGGTTTCACGTAACAAGTACACACCCCGTGCCAAGGAGCGCCGGGCCGTCCAGCAGAAGCCGAGCGTCGGACAGACTTGCCGCCGCCCGCATCGGACCGCAGCCAGCATGGAGACCTTGAGACGCTCGTACATCCGCTTCCGCGGCGGTGCAGCGCTACAGGCTGAGCTCAACCGTGGTTCTGAGCGAGTCGCTCTGGTCGGCGCGACGCCTGGCGGCGCACAGTGCTCTCGCCTTGGCGTGTTTGTGAAGCGGCACGATCTTATCAACGGGATGCCATCCTACGAGAAGGATGGGGACCCAAGCGTGATGATGTGGTATTCGGGCGGGTGGAAGGTGGGCGACGCAAAGCAGCTCGGAAGAAAGGGCTGCGGCATCAGCTGCCCCGACGACGCCTTCGCTCCCGAGACCGCGACCCGTGCTTGGCGCGTCAACCTACCTGCCGGCGGGGGCTGGTGCGACGCGCCGGACGTGCGCTGCATCGCGGGCGCTGCTCTGAGCGAGGAGCTCAAGCGGGCGGCGGCGCGGGTCGCCCTCGTGGGCAAGGCGCCCAAGGGCGCGCAGGACGCGAGCGCGTGGATGGGAGTCTTCTCCAAGTGCGACGAGGAGGTCAACGGTCACCCGTCGTACGAACTCGAGGGCAACGGTGAGGTGATGCTCTGGCACGCGGCGGACTGCTGGTACGTGGGCAACGCTGAGGACGCGGGCGAGCAGGTGGGCTTCCTCTCAGTGCGCGACGGGGCGCTGCTGCCGCAGTCGATCTCGCGCGTCTGGCGCGTGAAGCCAAAGGAGGGCGACGCCAAGAAGAAGAAGAAGGAGAAGAAGAAGGGCAAGGACGACTGGGTCGACGCCGCCGAGGTGCGGCTGCTCGCAGAGAGACCGACGGCCTCGCGCGTGTACGACGCAGCCACGTCCAGCTGGGTCGAGACGGCCACCCTGATTGTCTTTGAGGACAGCGGGCCGCCCGGCCGCGGCAGCAGGGTCTCCGCCGCTGCGTGATGCCAAAAAGCGGCGTGGGCGAGATATGACACGCGTGTAGCATATAGAAAGGGTGGGAGGGGGTTGCCGGGGGGGGGCGGGGGGGGCGGGGCGTGTGTCTGATGAGGGGCAGGGGGAGAACTCGGGGGATGTGGCATGTGCCACAACCATGTGCGAGCGCATGTGAGACGGACACGATTGCATACATCGGGACATAAATACGTATTAGGTTTTGGTATGCCCCACACACACAGAGAAAAGAACGACATACGTGATCGTGTGTACATGTATTTCCTCCTGTCGCTGTCCTAAGCTCGAGCTACAGCGTACAGGGGGACAGCCTCTCGAGGGTCTACCCACTCGCCGACAGTCCCGCGGCCCAGCCTCTGCGGCTACGCGTTGGCGCAGATACAAGTCGCGCAGCGAACGTACCGCAAGACGCAGCGCAGAGGTGTTAGTAGCGCAGAGGGGGAGCCGCAATCCACAGCGGCCTCTCCAACCGATCCGCAGCTCCGCCTCAGGCCGGCGGGCCGAAGAAGGGTACCCGAGCGCCCGGCGGCAACGCAGGCACCCCGGCGAGGAGTCCAGCGACCTGTTCACGACAGGGGGCGCGCGTGACGAGGCGCCGTTCGCGCCGCCTGGCCGGGCGCGAGGAAGCGGCAGAGCTCACCCACACTCCGGCCGCGATGAGGGCGAGCGTGCAGAAGGTGTTTCCAAAGACGGAGAAGAGGAGGATGGCCAGCGTGCGATTCAGCTTCGGCCGCGTCTCGCCGAAGGGGAGGGACGCCTGCAGACGCTTGATGACCCGCCTGCGAGGTACAGCCGAGGAGCCGCCGAAGCTGACGGCCGACGGAGAACGCCGAGAGAACGCCGAGAGAACGCCGAGAGGCAGCCGAGAGGCAGCCGAGAGACAGCCGAGAGGCAGCCGAGAGGCAGCCGAGAGAACGCCGAGAGACAGCCGAGAGGCAGCCGAGAGAACGCCGAGAGACAGCCGAGAGACAGCCGAGAGGCAGCCGAGAGAACGCCGAGAGACAGCCGAGAGGCAGCCGAGAGAACGCCGAGAGACAGCCGAGAGGCAGCCGAGAGACAGCCGAGAGGCAGCCGAGAGAGGCCCCAAGAGATAACCCTCTCCGCCGTAACCTCGGCTGCACTCGGCGGCATCTCGGCGGCATCTCGCGGCGGTGTTTGCCCAAACAGCGGCGTGACGCCGACGGAGAAGGCCATGCGGAAGGGGCGGGTGATGGTGCCGAAGGTGAGGTAAATGCCGGCGTACACGGCGAGGAACTTGGACCACTGCCCATGCGCCAGCGGCGAGAGGCCCGTTGACTGGCAAAAGGTGAACCAGGCGACCGACACCGTCACGCCTGCCGCGCGAGGGAAGGAAGAGCTGCGAGGGGAGAGACTCGGGTACACATCGGAGGAGCCCGCCCGGGAACGTCTCGGAGGGCGTCTCGGGAGTAGCACGCTCGTATCATGGGCTCGGAGTGTCGTGGATGTCTCGGAAGGCGTGCCGCGCCAGCGTTGAGGTTCGAGACGAGTCCGTAGGTGAAGAAGGCGTCGACACCGAGCTTGCTCAGCGAAGCGCGGTCGAACTTCATCCACTTGCCAAACCACGCGCGCGCGCGCGCCACCGGCGACTCACCAGCTGACTCACTCGCCATGCGCGGCGGACACGGTACCCGCGCCGCTCGTTGCAAAGGAGGCGCATATGCCGGTCGCAGCGCTGCTCCCCGCACCGCTGTCACGCCTGGCGAGCGCGCAGTCGTCCGGACGGCGTGCGAGGCGACGCCGGTGGACAGGATGAGCAGAGTGGCAGACGCGCTGAGCGTCGCAGTTGTACATCTCGTCATCTTGCGGCCTCCAGCGCCGAGCAAAATCTTTGCGCTGCCTGGGGCCTGGCGCGCACTGGCGGCTGAGGGCCAAAAGCAAAACGCGCAGCGCGACTCGAGGCCGCGGGTGCGGGCGCGACTCGTCAACCAGGGAGAGCGGGCTCGACCCCCCTGGGAGGGGAGGCGACACGACCCAACGCCGCCGCCCCCGCCCGGGGAGACCTCGGCCGGGCCGTCGACGCCCTCGAAAGCGGTGGAGCCGGGAGAAGCTGGCGGAGATGAAGGGCGGCAGCGAGCGGAGGAAGCGACACCAACAACGAGGGAAACGGCCACACCGGCCGTCGCATGACGCTCGTGAGACGAGCAAGAGAACGAATCAAGGGGGGTCGGAACCCTGGGAGGACGGGGGGTGAGCCCTCATGCGGGGGGTTTACTCAAGTGCCTGCGCGAGTGAGTGTGGAGTGGGGGTGTGACGTGTGAGGCGTGCAGTGTGGTGTTCATTAGCTCCGAGTAGAGGGGGCGTCCTGCAGTTAAGGGGAAACCCGGTACGCGGGGCCAACCCTCGGAGACCCGTGTTTACTTTAAGGCCCTTGCCCTGCGAACGCGCACCCCCGGGGCTAGGGCTCTCTAGCCCGTAACCCGATGCCAATCATCCGGCCCGCTGGGTGCGCTTCTGAGCTCCCTGGCCCTGGATGTGCGGTTAATGACTGCACTCCAAGTGCTCCAAGTGCTCCACTCTCACATCTCAGAGCCGTGTTCTATCTCAGCAACCCCGCTCGCGGGTGCTAGAGCAGCGTTCTTCAAGCTTAAACCCCACTCTACACAACACAGAGCAGCGTTTGCCTAACAAGACTCCGCTCTGCAACCTTCAGAGCGGACTCTTGCTCAGAAAAACACCGACCAAACACGTTCGAGCGGAGTCAAGTCAGTGCAACACCGCTCAACATAGCGGGTGCGGTCAATTTCCGCGGAGAGGCTGCTTTCGCCTCCCTCAGTCGCGCTCTTCTTTCGACTTTCCTCCTCCTCTTCAGAGCGGGACTTTGCTGAGTGAACACCGCTCTAGCTAGTGAGAGCAGCGATTGCTTTAAGCTGATACCGCTCTAAATGGCGTGAGCGGCGTCGCCCTGAATAGACGCTGCTCTGGGACGCCGGGACGGCGATGCCACCTGACGCCGACGGGTGATCCACGATCGCTCGTGGCGCGCGGCGCGGCGTGGCGAGCCCCGCCCCTGGGGTTGAGCAGCGTGTGGGTGGGTCGTCACTGCTCCGAGTAGTCAGAGCGGCGTCGCATTTAGTGATACGCCGCTCACGCCATTTAGAGCGTGTCAGCTTAAAGCAATCGCTGCTCTTACTAGCTAGAGCAGTGTTCACTTAGCAAAGTCCCGCTCTGAAGAGGAGGAGGAAAGAAGAGCGCGACTGAGGGAGGCGAAAGCAGCCTCTCCGCGGAAATTGACCGCTCCCGCTATGTTGAGCGGTGTTGCACTGACTTGGCTCCGCTCGAACGTGTTTGGTCGGTGTTTTTCTGAGCAAGAGTCCGCTCTGAAGGTTGCAGAGCGGAGTCTTGTTAGGCAAACGCTGCTCTGTGTTGTGTAGAGTGGGGTTTAAGCTTGAAGAACGCTGCTCTAGCACCATCGAGCGGGGTTACTGAGATATAACACCGCTCTGAGATGCGAGAGTGGCGTTGCGCGTTTTGCTTTTGGCCCTCAGCCCGCACTGGCACTAACACAGGTACACAACGGGAGCCGCCAAGCGACTCCCGCGAGGGCGGCGTGTGTTGGGATGTACAAGGTTTGCCTCTCGCACCCCGTCTCTTCTCCTTTCCTTTTTTCACAACACCTCCTTTTTTTCTCTATTTTCTGAGAAGGGCTCCAGGCCCCCACCCAAAATGACGTGTGAGTGTTAGAGTTGTTGGTTTCTTTGCTATTTCCTCGGGAAAACTCCGTGGAAACCGTCAAATTTTGGGCTCTGAGGCTGGTTTGGGCCCAAAATCAGCCAACCAAATTTTAGGCCAAATCGGCAAAATGCCGGGAATTTTGCGGAGAACCGTGTATACCTGGATGGAAATTACCCTGCGACCGCCTGGGTATTTTGTCGATTCCCTCAATTTTGCCTCAGATTTTGCCCCAGACCAGCTCTCTCTCTCAGATCAGACTCAGGGAAACTCGCGAGTTTCCAGAATGGAGCACCAAACACTCTGTTTTCCCTGGAAATTTCCGGAAACGCAAAGTGCTGGGGACCCTGTGTTTTCCTTTTTGTTTGCCGGAAAACCTTGTACATCCCAAGGCGTGTGAAAGAACATACGCCTCCGAAGGTTGGCAAGGGACGTCCGGCATTTGTCACAACATCGTCGTGCGTCCGTGCGTGGCATGGGCGCGACCAACTGCCGGCTGTGCGGTGCGCGCAAGGAGCAGGAAGAGGAGGAGCTGGACTACGAGCAGCTGAGCATACGCGCGACGTATGAGGCGGTGACCAAGGGCCACCTCCGAGAGATTGGTGCGCTGTTCTCGGCAATGGACAAGGATGGCAGCGGGAAGTTGGATGTCAGGGAGTTGCGGGCGGCGGTCACCCGATTCATGGGCATACGGCCACGCGAGCTCGACGTCAATTCGCTGCTCTTGGCCTTCGACACCCACGGTCACGCAGACGGCGAGATAGATTTTGATGAGTTCCGCTGGTACCTGGCAGACTGGGCGCTCACGATGAGGGAGAATTGGGACCCGGACCATCCGAAGGCGGGTGAGTTGGAGGGAGCTACCGCAGTGCTTCCGGAAGTCATTTCAGACTTCGAGGCCATTGTCAATGATTAGCAGACCAGCCGGCGGAAAGGCCACGCCGAAGCCCACCGGCAGAGGCGGTAACCGGCACCGGTACACCGGTATGGCTATGCTCCTCAGAGTGCCCGGAGGAATCATGATATTTTCACCGAAACGAAAGTCGAAAGACGAAACGCGAGCGCGGTGCGACGCGCGTGCACAGCGGTCAGCGCCACATAGGGAGTGCACGCCGTCTCTGAGAGACGGTGCTGAGCTAACCTACCGACTCGCGGCGTTAGGTAGAAAGGTGAAGAACAGTCAGGCTCGGACTGGACACCAGCGCGGTATGGGTGGACGCGGGACAGATGATGACGAACACGCACGAGCAACACACAGACACAAACAAAGCTCACAAGACACAAAGAACAAGGAAAAGAAAGCGTGGGGGGGGGGGGGGGGGGGCTTTTACCCCCCAAATTAAGCCCAGCCCCCCCCCGCCAGGGGCGAAACAAAAGAACCACGAAAAGAAATCCCTTGCTCTCCAAGGGCTTGCGAGCGGGTTCTGCACGTTCCTGGGAGTCCCCCTCCCAACCCCAAAAGGCACCCCTCGCCAACAGGTTAGCCATACCGAGGGGGGTCCCTACGTGAACCACCCACAAGGCCTGAGTTGGCAAGGTAAGGGGAATGATCAAAATGGCAAGGCTCGGAATGGGTTCTTTGAACGTTCAAAAAACCGGCCACTGGGCCCCCCTATACGGGACAGCCCCCCTCTCAAAGCACTCCCCCCCCGATTATGCCCCCCCCTATTCGGCATCCCCTTCAAAGCCGAAAATGGGTTCGTCCGCCGCCTTTTTCCGCCGGGGGGGACCCCTTGAGGGCCCGGTTCAGGTTCTGCTTGCCCCAATTGTCACGTACAGCTCCTCGAGCTCGACCCAGCGGGTATCAATGAAGCCCTCGGCATTCTGGGCCTCTCCAAACTTGCCGCGGGGGAG